ATGGGTCTTACGGTTTTCAGGTGAGCAAAATTCCTTAGGGTCAAGAGTGGGACAAGTAGAATGATGGTGAATAAACAAACATGAATGTACAATTAGGAAATACTTTGAATGCTGTGGAAAAAAAAAACATTCTAAACATTGAAAGAGTCTAGTGAATGCAGAACAAGAAATGGAGAAATTGATTTAAAAACTGACACAATGTTTGAATATTACTGCAATAGTCTGTGGAAATCTTACTTTTCCTTTGCTGGTTAGTTACTATGGCCTTGACTTTTCATGTATGTCAGATTTAAAAAATATTTGCTTTGCAAGTTGCTGAACATGTGAGAGCTGATTAATGCAGCAGCGAGCAAAACAGGAATCTGAGAGACCAGGACAGATAACTGTGTAGCTCTTTAACTGGGTAAGATTGAAGAACTCGGACAGGAATGAAAAGAAAATGTCGAATTCAGTGACGAGTAAGTTACAGAAAGAAAGGGAGGAAGTTTGCATTGCGAGCAGGAAGTAAAAGGTTCGAAAAAGATTTTAAATGTGACAGAAATCTCCAGCAGCACCTGATGCCTGATTGAGACCTCATATTTGTAATAGTGAATTTTTGATTCCCATTGTTTGACAATGGTTAGTATTTGTCACTTCGAGTGCATTTGCACTTTTAATGATAACTTGCTTCAGTAGATTTACCTGCTGTTCAAATTTAGAACACCTAGGATGTTTAATGCCTATCAAAAGTGAAGCAGTAGTAAGATGCTGTTTCCAAAAAGCTAATAATGGAGCAGAAGAACTCCAAAAGTGAATTTAACAAGTTCTGATGACAAATTCTGGTCTGTTTGGTCGGCTAACTTATTTGGAATTGAAACAAACATTAATTGCTACAAGACATTAAATTAGCGTGTTTAAAAACCATAAGAAATAGGTGTAGGCAGTTCGGCCCCTCAAGCCTGCCCTGCCATTCAGTAGAATCATGGCTGATCCCAAACACATTCCCTGTAATCTAGTCAGATTTCCAGCATCCACAGTAATTTGTTGTTGTATCTCTAATTGAGACAATCATTGCTCGAACCCAGTTCTGTTTTGCAAAACGAAAGGCAGTTTGAAAATGTCTTATACAAAGTCAAAATATAGCAGATGCTGAAAGTCTGAAATATAAACTGGTTGGGCAGTTTTATTTGTGTTAATCATTACAAGCCACAACCATTCTCTTCTCCCCACACCACCCTCCAAAAAAAAAATTAAGTGTGCACCTTGGCAGCATTAGACCTGGCAGATTACCTCCCTAAAGGAGATTAATGAACCTAATGGATTTTTACAACAATTAACAGTAGTTCTACAGTAAAGCTCCAGAAGCCTCCACCTGTCGGTAAACCTATTTGCTGGAAGTAGAATTTTTAGTCTTGTAGGTGAGTGTAACAGTGTGTATATTTTTCTTTAGATGTATTTTTCCTAGTTCTCTTGCAATGCCATTGTTTGTGAAATTCAAAATCAACTCTAGGGCAACTTTTAGGCAACCTTGGCATAGCCACGTGTTCTTTTTCTTTGCGTCATTGACCGTTCTGTTCTTGTTTTGTCTTTCTGAAGTATGTTGAAATAACTTGTGTCTTTTTTTTGAAGGATACTTTCTCACAGACATTCTCCTGATCTATTGTAACCACTTCAGAACTCCGGGGAAGTGATGATAAATGTACATTATAGCTCTGGGACTTCGATTGCTATTTTGCTGGAGTTTGGGAGAACGCCATAAAACCATAAGATATAGAAGCAGAGCTAGGCCCATTTGGCCCATTGAGTCTACCTTGCCATTCAGTCATGGCTAATATGTTTCTCAATCCCACTCACCTGCCTTCTCTGCTAACCCTTGATTCCCTTACTAAACAAGAACCTATCTATCTCTATCTTAAAAATACTCAATGAATTGACCTCCACAGCCTTCTATGGCAATCAGTTCCACAAAGTCACATTCTGGCTGGAGAAATTCCTTCTCAGTTCTAAAGGGTCGTCCCTCAGGGCCTAGTCTCTCCTACAAGTAGAAACATCTCCACGTCCACTCTATTCAGGCCTCCTAGTAGTTTGCAAGTTTCAATGGAATCATGCCTCATCCTTCAAAAGTCAATTGAGTACAGACCCAGATTCTCAACCATTTCTCATATGATAAGCTCTTCCATCCTGGGTTCGTTCTTGTGAACCTCCTCCAATGCCAGCACTTCTTCCCTTAGATACTGGGCCCATAACTGCTTTCAATAAATCAAATGTTGTCTGACCAGAGACTTGGACAGCCACAGCATGCCTGCCCTTGTATTCTAGCCCTCTCAAAATCAATTTTAACATTGCATTTGCATTCCTAACTGCCAACTGAATCTGTATGTTCATGTTAAGAGAATCTTGAACTAGTATTTCCAAGTCCCATTGCATTCCGGATTTCTGAAGCCTTTCCCCACTTGGAAAATAGTCTACACTTCTATTCTTCCTTCCAAAGTGCATGAACTCTCACTTTCCCACTTTGTATTCTATCTGTCACTTCTATACCCACTCTCCTAGCCTGTCCACATCCTTCACTGACCAAATTCAAGGTAGTAAATGTATGGAGTCTGACTGAAAGACAGCATCCAGTTAACTCTCGTGCCTCCTTAATGCGTTGCAGTGTTTGAAGCTGAGACTCCAGCACATCAAAGCTGAGCTGCAGTTCCTTAAGCAACCAACACTTGCTACAGATGTTAGCCACACCATGTAAAAATTACTGGCAGTGGTACCTTCCAGCACCTTGTGGAGCGAAGAATCTTCTTACGCCTGCAGAGGTACTCTGGAAGCAGGAACAAGGTTTGAAAGTTGCATGCCTCATAACCAGGTAATGTTAATGAAGGAGCCAAATAGGTCTAATGTGCAGATGTATTGTGAAAGCTCTGACATCAGACAGACCGCCTCACCCCAATTTGCAGACGAACAAACTAACAGTTCCCTCAGTCATCCCAATCTCACTGACTCTGTTACTGAGCTACATTAATGCAAAGGCCACAAGTTGAGCAATGACCTTTTCTGTAGAGAGGTCTCCCCTCCTCTGTATGGACAGCTGTAAAGACCTTTGGGACCTTTTGATTTAGTCTTGAGGTTTCCAAGGGTATTGTTATTTAGGGGTGCTCTCGTAGTCCCCAACCTGCTTCAGCATTGTCTGCCTCTCCTAGTGGAGGCGTTGGTATCCATACGTCTAGTGTTGTCAGCTCTTGTGGCTGTGCCTGTGCATTGGCAGTCTCCCATACTTGTTGATGAGCCCCTGTCCCATGCAGGGTTGGGATTGGAAATGGTCCCAATACCTAGAACTTTTCAAAGGGCAGGAGGAGGTTCTGCATTTTGTCACAGAGGGCTGTGGCTCGCGTGAGTGCTTGGAAATGAAGCAGCAGCAGGGTGGTTGATTGGGATATCGCAGCTGAGCTCAAACCTGTTTTCACCCAGCATCTAAATATTTGCATTTCAACCAGGAATTACTAGACAGTCCTCAGGAGCATACTCGGTGTATTCCCCGAGAGCTCTTTCTCCTCCCATGGTCAAAGAAATAAAAGTACATGGCTATCAAGCCAGCTGATTAAACCAAGACCATTTGCTTACAATATCTTCCCCTTCTCTAAGACTTGTTCACTGACACTCTAATTACGTTTTCTGAAGGTTAGAATTAAATGATAATAAATTCAGATCAGCTCCTTCCATCAAACATTTGTAAGCAATAAAATAACCTGGTTATGATAGCATAGCTATTTTTTAAAAAAATTATTTGTTCACATTTGGGTGCAATTCTCATTACTCTGTGGGTGATGGTGAGTTGCCCAGGACAATTCAGCTCTTGTGATGATGATGATGCATTCATACCAGCGTGAGGCAGGAAATTCCAGAAATTTAACCCAATAGCAATACAGTACGTGAAATGTATCCTAGTCAGAGCCATATACAACTTAATGACATAAACAGAAAATGTTGGAGAAAGTCAGCCCGTTTGGCAGGATCTGTGGACGAGGAACTGAAGAGTCATAGTGAACTTAAAATATCAATTCTTTTTTTCTTTATTCACTGATGGGATGTGGGTGATGCAGGGTAGTCAGAATTTATTGCCCATCCCTAACGGCCCTTAAGAAAGTGGTGGTGAGCTGCCTTATTGAATCACTGCAGTCCACATGCTGTTGCTCAATGCCCTTTGAAACGGAATTCCAGTGAAGCAATGACAATATAGTTCCAAGTCAGAATGGTGAGTGGCCTAGAGGGGGAACTTGCAGGTGGTAATGGTGCAAAATGTGTTTTTACGGAAATTAATGATGGTGTTTCCAAAATATTGCTGCTCATGTATTTTTTTCTGGATGGAAAGCACGGTCAAAATAAGCTTTCTGGTGAATTTCTGCAATGCAGCCTTAGATTATACATACTGCAGCCAGTGTACTGCCCATTGTTGCAGGAGGTGGATACTGAGGCTTGACTGGTGTCAAGTTTCTGAGTGTTATCAGGGGCCTTATTCATCCAGGTGAACATGGGGTCATCCATCATGCTCCCTGACTTGATCATTGTGGATAAAGAAGCAGTGTGTTGTGGAGAGGAGCAAATCAAGACTGAGCACCTTTTTCAACTTGAGTGATCCAGGAAACGGTAAGAATATCCAAGATTTTTCAACCATAGGAGCCTCAACCAATTTTTTTTTGAACTGGGGTCTAGAAACTGGGAACATATCCAGCAATCAGTGCATATTTGGGAATAATTGTGATATTTGTCATGATAAAACCAGTTTAAAAATCTTATACCATTATAAATCCTCAACTTTTTTTAGTCCAAAATCACTTCAAGTTTGATGGAGAGTTAAAATAAAAATTTTTAACATGCGGAATGTATTGCAAACAATGAGTAAACTGCAATGGAAGTATGATAAAAGACACATCTATTAAATCAAATAAAAGTAAATAATATTTATTTTGTACATTAAAATTTTACAATAGGAACATTGGCTAACAGAATCAGAAAAGAAAAATACAGTAAAAAACTTATTTTTACAAATGTATCCTCCAAAAGTTACAGAGCTGCAAATCAAGGTGATGTCAAAAATTGTAATGGAGACTTGTGACAGCAAGAAGCAAAATTTCTGAGGGAGCTTTTAAGATTGTAAAGACTTGCATGATTATTTCTTTCTCAGGTTAAACATGATGACTTTAATTTGGTGAATTTTTGAAAGTTTTTCAAGGCACTGTAGTTGCACATTTCTGCAGGTATTAAAAATGATCTGATGTGAAAGCTGAGTGCAGACATACCAAGGCAAATGATCACAAGACTGAAATCACAAGACAGGCAGAAATACATCAGATTAAAACATTTTGCTTGGTAAAAATTCATTTACAGATTTTTAAAAAAAAGTTTACTGTAGATTAAAGCAAGAGGCACCAATCTTGTGGTAAAAATCACTCATCAGCTGTTAGGAAAGTTGTTCAAGAGGTATTTCATGTAAGTAAACAACATTTTGAAATGCAATCATGAATTTATTTGTACATTTCATGAACTGGATGTCCAGTCGTAATAGGACGCTGAGAGATAGATGAATATTTTCAAGTACTCAAGGGTTTAAAATGCATTCCAAATCCAACATCGCATCAGTTTTTCTTCTCTCTGTTGTCACTCTACTGAGCTGTGGTAAAACAAAATTGAAAATCATAATCCAATCTGCTCACTTGACTACTCTCAATCATCAAAGAAAGTGATGGGAAGAGTCATAAATATTACTGTTGACCCACATTTGAGCTGCTTACTGAGGCACAGTTTGGGTTTCATCAGGATCACAATATGCCAAATATCATTAAAACCTTGGTTCAAATATGGTCAAAGGAGCTGCATTCTAGACATGAGGAGAGAGTGACTGACCTTGACCTTGAAGTTTCATTCACCTGACTGCAACATCAAGGAACCCCCATTAAAAGTGAAAGTAATGGAAACTAGGAAAAACTGTCTGGTCATACCTAGCACAAAGGATAATTTTAAAAATCATTGGTGTCACTGGCAAAGATATTTGTTGCTGATCCCTAATTGCCATTTGAGTGAATGGCTTTCTAATCCATCTCAGAGAGCAGTTTAGAGTCTGGAGTCACATATTGGCCATACTAATGCAGACAGCAGTTTTCCTTCCCTAAAAGACATTGGTGAACTGGACGGATTTTATGCAACAATTGATGACAATTAGGAAGACAAATGATTATAGAATAGAAGCAAAATACTGCAGATGCTGGGAATCTGAAACAAACACAGAATGTTGGAAAAACTCAGCAAGTCCAGTAGCATCTGTGGAGAGAAACAGAGTTAATGTTTCCCGTCTGGTATGACTTCTTCAGAAAACATTCATAAAGATGTTGCCAGGATTGGAGGGTTTGAGCTATACGGAAATGCTGAGTAGGTTGGAGCTTTTCTCCCTGGTGCATTGGAGGCTGAGGAGTGACCTTATAGAGGTTTATAAAATCATTAGGGGCACGGATAGCGTGAATAGCCAATGTCTTTTTCCCAGGGTGGGGGAGTTCAAAACTAGATGGCATTGGTTTAAGGTGAAAGGACAGGATTTAAAAAGGACCCAAGGGACAACTTTTTCACACAGATGGTGGCGTTTGTCTAGAAAGCGCTGCCAGAGGAAGTGGTGGAGGCTGGTACAATTATAACATTGGACGGGCAGTTGATTGAATACATGAATAGGAAGGGTTTCGATGGATATGGGCCGAATGCTGGCAAATGGGTCTGGTCAGTTTAGGATATCTGGTCAGCAGGGATGAGTTGGATCGAAGGGCCTGTTTCCAATCTGTATAACACTATGACTCCATAACTGTGAGTTCTGAAGAAGTTATACCAGTCTGGAAACATTAATTCTGTTTTTCTCCACAGATGCTGCTGGACCTGTTGAGTTTGTCCAGCAGATTCTGCAATTGAATTTAGATTTGTAACCCCGATTTAATATTTCAAATTTCAATTCCATCAGAGGCCAGGGTGGGATTTTAACCGATGCCCCAGAGGATTACCTTGGGTCTGTAGTTCACGTCACTGTTTCTGCTGGTTGTTGCTGATGGAGGCCTTTTACTTTAACCATTGCACACTGATGCATGAGTTGCTTAGGGCAGTGTCATTGGCTAAACTATCTTCAACTATTTCATCAATGACCTTCCATCACCCATTAAGTTGAAAAGCAGGGCTCTTTGCTGACGATTGCACCAAATCAGCTCCAGTAGCAACTCTTCAGATAATAAAGCAGTCCGAGCACACTGTTTCTTTATCATCACTCAAGTCAATATCATGGAGGTAAGATTAACAATCTTGTAAAACCAAAAGTCTTAAAGGATTTGTGGAAAGGAGCGTGTGGAGTTAAGTGCAGATCAATCTTTATCTCATTGAATGGCAGAGCAGGTTTGAGTGATTAAATAGTCTACTCCTGTTTCTATCTTTCTAATTCATTTTTTTTAAAATTGTCTGGTTTCTTTCTCATTTTCATTACATTTGAATTGTAGATATTGTTTGTTACTCATTACAACTCATTTGGGTTAAAGTAGTTTTTCCTCCCTCCAGACTATGAGCTTTCAGATGAGTGTGGTCAAATGTCCATGTACAGTATATCGTTGCTCCTTTATTGTCACTGGGTCAAAAATCTGGAAATCCCGCCCTCACAGCACTTTGGGTTTGCGTACACCATCATGGTATGTAACGCATCAAGAAAGCTGCTTACCACTGCCACCACCGCAAGGGCAACTGGGTCTGGTGAACATATGCTGGCCCAGCCAGAGATACTTAATTCTTTGACAGAATAGCAAAAAAAAAATGAAGACTGATCAGTGATGTACAACTGATCTTTCTTTGGAAAGCAGTTGAGAATTTTGCTTAAGAAGTGATGCTATTCCTGGTCCTGTCACCATCATCAGAGTTTGCCCTCTCACTGTGCTAAAAGAAGCTAACTTGCAAGTACAGGCATATCTCCCCAATCCAGCACTCCGTGGTCTGGTGCACACAGTAAGGTTCCAATTCTGTTTTTGTCTATGTAACGTTACTGTTTATGTCAGATAGTCGTAGTATACACATGCCCAGTGAAATGTCTCTGTCTGAAGTATTTGGACAGTACTTGCTGGACCCTTCGGTAAAATACTTGTTATTGTTCTCACCTATGTGGGCATAAAATGAAGCAAAAATGCTTTAACCTCACACACACAATTAATGGTTCTGGTGCTGTTAATGCTTAAGCAACTCTATCCTTTTCCAGGTTCTACACTGAGGAACGTTTATTGTTTCAAAAGTGATTTATAGCAGGAAAATTTCATTGAATCTAATAACATAATGCAGAAGGTTGCGAGCAACATGTTTCATAGTGCTTTTGAACCCTCATGCTGACTCCGACATGTGAACTCCGTACACACGTTGGAAGGATGTGATTGCACTCAAGGGAGGAAACTCATCAGGATGTTGCCTGGGCTGGAGCGATCCAGTCATGAGGAGAGACCTGGAATTGTTTTCCTTGGAGCAGAGAAGGCTGTGGACGGGGTATGAGATCGAGGTGTTGAATGTAATGAGGGATATAAATAGGGTATATAGGGAGAAAACTCTCCCTTAAGTATGGGAATTAATAACTCGGGGGCACAATTTTAAGGTAACAGCCAGAAACTTTAGAGGGGTTTTGAGGAAGATGGTTCATCCCCTGGTGGTGTGGGTATTTGGAACTCCCTGTCTAAAACAGTGATAGAGGCGGGATCTCTCAAGACATTTAAGTAGTATTTAGACAAGCACTTGAAATGCCATAGCAAAGTGCCAAATGCTGGAAAATTAGATTCAAATAGATGCTGGATGACTGCTGTGGACATGATAAGTTGAAGGGCCTTTTCCCATGCTGTTAAAACTCTGCGCTTATTAATTATGCTTAATACCTTTTCAGAGGCTGTAGCTGCCCTGTGTTCTGAATGAGTCAGGCGCCTTTGAAGTCTGTTAGTTTTTTCCTGATTTTCCAATATTTGTCTTTCATACTGTTCAAAATAAAAAGAGAAACATGTAAAGAAGGATTTTAATCAAAAACAAACATGAAGTGAAAGGTTGATTTGATGCTTCGCCTTCAAGTTTTGTACATTGTGGTAATCTGCACTAAATCAAGGAGTGAAAGTTATCGTGCGCTCAGCAAAAGAATTGATTAGTGGACAATAATGTTTCAGTAATTGCTGAAAAATAACGTTATTTTAAAGGCATCCGCCATTTTGTTTTCGCTACAAATTCTAAACCCTAAAAGAGAAATTGGTCATAAGTTCTGGTTCCCCTCAAATTGTAGAATACCTACAGTTCAGAAAGAAGCCATTCTGCCCATTGAGTATGCACCAACCCTCTGAACAGCATCCCACCCAATATCAGTAACCCTGCATTTACCATGGCTAATCCACCTAACCTGCACATCTTTGGACTGTGGGAGGAAACCGGAGCACCGGGAGCAAGCCCACACAGACAAGGGGAGAATGTGCAAACTCCACATAGACAGTCGCCCGAGGCTGGAATCGAACCAGGGTCCCTGGCACTGTAAGGCAGCAGTGCTAACCACTCAGTCGCCATGCCACCCTAAGCAAAGTAAGCAAATTACCTAATGTTTTACTGCCGTTCCAGAGTCAGCCCTACCAGAACCAAAAAACGATTTTCCAATGAACCTCCCTATTGTGAGTTATGAAATTGCTGCATTTGCACCATTAACACAAATTAAACTTGCTGAAGACATTTAAGGCTGTTGATTCACGTCGGAAGGACCCTGTTAATGGCATGACTTATGGTCATGACAAGCCACTCAACCTTGGAGGCCTTGAATGGGAACAATGAAACTGTCAAGTATTACTCCATTCTGTTACCCTGCCATCAATTTACATTTCCAGAAAGTGTGCAAAGAAGGTAATCGTAAGGGCTAGATAAAAAATCCATTTCAGTTTGAGATTTTTCACTCCAACAATTTCTGGGCCAATATATCTTTTCAGAGAATAAAAACACTAACTTTTTCCTCGTGGTACTATAGTCAGTCATTCTCATGCACCAGAATATAAAACAACAAGTTCTTGGGACCAAAATGAACTGATGGTAAACATGTATACAAGAATGTTTAAATTCAATTAAAGTATCAAACTAAAATAACATTTAAAAACTTTAATTATAGATCAAACCCAAAATTCTCTCAGGTAACTTTTGTCCCTTATCCACCTTTTATTTCATTTCCTATTAATCAAGTATGTCTGTTACAGTAGTAGATCCATTTGCTCCTCTATCCCATTGATAAGTTTGTTACTGAATGTTGTGTAACATTAAGACATCAAAATTAAAGCCAATTGTGGAAATCATTGTTCTAAAGTGGTTTGTATTTTCTTCTTTGAAACACATTTCAAGGGGAAAAATACAAATGAATTTAGGGAAAACCAAATAAATCTTAAAAAGTACTTCACACGGAATTACAAAATGTTAAAAATCATTATCAAGAAAAATTAAAACATATCTACAAAATTAACAATCTCTTTCTTGAATATACTCAGTGACTTGGCCTCCATAGCATTCTATAATGGCAAATTCCACAGGTTGACCACCCTTTGAGTGAAGAAATGTTTCCTCATCTCAATTTGAAATGGCCTACCCTGTAGCTGAGACTGTGATCTCTGGTCCTCCACATATCTCGTCCGTCTAGCAACCTAAAAAATATTACAATCCAAAGGTATTTACATATATAGTGAAAAGCAGGGGCTCAAATCCTGATCCCTGTGGCTCATGGACACGTACTGCCTGTCACTGGAAAAAAAATCTATTTATTCCCACTCTGTTTCTAGTCTGTCAACCAATTCTTAATCTATGCCCCCAATTCCATGTACTCTAATTTTGCCCACTAGCTCTTACGTGAGACCTTATCAAAATCCACATACACCACATTCACTGGTTTGCTCTCACCTACTCTACTAATTATATCTTCTAAAAACTCCAGATTAGTTAAGCATGATTTGCCTCTCTAATCCTGTTAATGCTTTCCAAGTATTTTGTTATTACCTTTTTTATAAAGGAGTGTAGCATTTTCCCCACTACTGATGTTAGGCTAACTGGTCTGTACTTCTGTATTTTCTCTCCTTCCTTTTCTTTTGGAAAACGGTGGGGTTATATTTACCAGCCTGCAATCTGTAGGAACTGCTCCAAAGCCTAAATGATAGTGACACAGGTCAATGGTAGTGTATTTGACGGATAGTGAGAAGTTTGAGATGATGTTCTGGAAAAGTCATGTCAGAATGGAAATATTAATTCTCTGCACAGATGTTGCCACACCTTTTCGTTTGTCCGGCATTTTCTCTTTCTCTTTTTATCAGTTAGAGCTCAGACAGAGCAGCCGCGGGAGTAGAGGGAGTGGAGTGAAGCAAACCTGGCAGCAGCAGCGGAGCTTCTGGATAAAAACCTGAGGAGCAGGGCCCAGACCTAGCTCAGTCGGAGCAGCAGTGAGGGAGGAGCAGGTGGAACCTTCACTCAAACCAGAGTTGGAGCTCCAGGAAGTATGGAGGAACAAAGAGACATTGGTGTACAAGTCCGTAGATCCTTGAAAGTGACAGCACAGGGAGACAAGGGGGTGAAGAAGGCATATGGGAATGCTGGGCTGTGGAATATAGGAACAAGGAAGTCTTGGTACTACTTTATACAACATTGGTTAGGCCATAGATGGAATATTGTGTGCAGTTCTGGTCACCACTCTAATGGAAGGATGTGATTGCACTGCAGAGGGTGCAAGAGGAGATTCACCAGGATGTTGCCTGGGATGAAAAGTTTTAGTTGTGAGGAGAGACTGGGTAGGCTGGGTTTGTTTTCCTTGGAGCAGAGGAGGCTGAGGGGAGGATCTGATTGAGGTGTAAAAACTATAGATGCAGTAGATCATGAGAATGTCTTCCTCATGGCAGACATGTCTAAGTCCAGAAGATATGAGTTTAAGATGAGGAGTAAGTGTTTTAAAGGGGACCTGAGAATTTTGTTTTTAAACCCAGAGGGTGGTATAGATATCAAATGTACTGCCTGAGAGATGGTGGATGCAGGTACTCTTGCAATATTTAAGAAGTATCTGGATGACTGCTTAAAATGCCCAGACACAGCAGGCTACTGAAAAAGTGCAGGTAAATGGGATTGATATAGTTTGGTATTTATTCGTTGGCATAGACATGGTGGGCCGAAGGGCCTGTTTCTATGCTATATGACTTTTATTTCAGGTTTCCAGCTCCCACAGTATTTTGCTTTTATCATGGCTTACAGCAAGTCATTTCCAACAGGATCCAAAAGTTTCACAAGTTGCTGATTTAATATACTGATAAATCTTAATTGATTTAATGAGACAAATTACTGTACAACTGTAGAGAAATTTGCAGATTGGGTCAGATACTAAATCCCCAGTGTTTTCAATTTTCAATAAAACGCAGACACTGGAAATAAATGAGTAGATTTAATTAGTTTGAACTAGTCTTAATTGATACTGCTGAAGTGTGTATAATTCAGCAATAAAACAGCAGACTATTTGGTACCTTCTTTGGCCTCTCATTATATGCATTTTCATTTGGACTTAAACTATAAAACATCACTCAAATCTTGTCTTGGAGAGGGTCTTATTCAAATGATTGAGAGTTGTGATTCTGCAGAAAGGATACAACTGAATTTCTTAAATGGCCTGGTGCCTTCAAAAAGAGAGGACAGCAGCTAGCAATGGAGCCACAAACGAGAAAAGGAAGAACAGCAAAAGTAGTAACAGGTGTAAAAAGTAGGAACACCATATCGAAAATTAATATACTTGCCTGTGAGTTACAGGATAAGTGCTGAATGAGAACACACACACAGACAGACACACATACAGAGATTCTGAACAGTGCAGAAAAAAACTGCAGAATGTTAGTTTAATGAGACCTTAATCCGATTGAAATATCTGTATCACTGAAATACACCAAATTAGAATATCAAAAATAGGATCTTTGGCACAACCAGTCCGTGTTTATCTTCCAGTTGAGCAAATGGATGAAATTGTATTTTCCTGCTTTTCCAGTAATGTTTACTTTCCTATTTTCACCCACACATCTAACCTAATCATGAACGTTGATATAGTTTCAATCTCAACCATTAAGTGTTGGAATTTCAGTCTCTTGAATTTCTGTGGAAAGAGACTTCTCCTAATCTTGCTACTATGTAAGAAAGTATGGGAAGCCGTCTGTCACTATCTTCTCTGCCACATCCTTCCATAATTTTAAACACTATCACATTGTCCCTGAAAACTGGGTTGTTCTAATAAAGTAGACCTAATCCTTTCTGCACCTTTCTTGGTATTTTTATGTCCTCACATTAAGCAGGAACCTAGGCTCTCTGAAATCTCTACATATATTCTTTCAGCATCAAATCTAATACTACACACAGCGCTTGAAGATTCTTGAGGTTTCGTATAGGTTCACTGCTTGCTCTTAGATTTTTATGTTCTTTAATTTTATGAAAATATGTAGAATTCTAACTGCATTTCTTTTATTTATTGCCACCAACTGGAGTTACTGCTCTTTCTCAGCATTGAGTCTGCTTCTATTCAAAATAAAATTGCCACTGTAAATCTTTTTACCAAAATTCATCACATCATGTTACGCTAATGAGGTTTAAAAAGATTGTAATTTTTGGGAGTTATTCTTTAATTTCAAGGTAAAATGAAGGGTTTATGTGACCTGTTTTAGAATGTTTCTCACAGCAAGCCTTGGCAGTTTGATTGTTTGAGATTAAAGGGGTCCCAGATTGAGATTAAAGTCCCAGAAAAACGTTGGGCTATATACGAGTGTATTGTCCAGTTATTTGCAAAATGAGATAAAGTTGGGGTCTCAAGCTCATCAGCATTACTAAATAAAAACCAAAAGAACTGCGGATGCTGTAAATCAGGAATAAAAACAAAGTTGCTGGAAAAGCTCAGCAGGTCTGGCAGCATCTGTGAAGGGAAAAAACAGAGTTAGCGTTTCGGGTCCGGTGACCC